ATACGACAGGTGCAAAAATAATTTATTCAAATCGTGCGTTCGGTCAAAACAACCGTGCACAATCAAAACAATAATATGGAATGATATCTTCACTCTTTAAGGCGCAAAAAAGTTCAAGGAATTGTTCAGTCTGTGTCCGAATCACTTTCAATACAATGAAATCGTCGTTTCTGAGGTTTAATCATGTTTATTTTTAATTTCGGTGTTGGATCGCTTGAGCAAAGTGTTAAGCTGGGTCGGTTCGTAATTTTTGATTTCCTTGGAAATTCCCTTCTCTAAACACCACTTTTTCCAAACCGACAACCAAAAAGCAGTGCTTTTAAGGGTGTTTTCGTTGTTTGAGCTGTTTTTCAGCAGTGGTGGCGAAAGAAAACCAACTTAAAACGCCGGCCATTGTTTCGCTCGCAAATTTTCAAATATTCAAATTTTGTTCCGACATTCAAGGCTTACATTCGATTAGCTATCTGTGGGTTTCTTCGATTATTGACCAATCAGAATGTCTGATTTAGTACTTTAGTAATCAATCAGAACTGAGTAATTTTCCATGTATATTATTAATTCCCAAATTGAACTTTGAACCGGCGCACAATAGACTCCCGAATGAAATGTCACAAAACATGTTTGGTTGGTCTTGTTCCCTGCCTCTCTATGCAGCCACTCATTGAAGTCCTTTGTTCACGAACACTGCAGCCTTTGTCGATAAAGGCTGCGGACGCAGTCTATATGACAAGCTATGCATTATGTGGAGTGTCTTTGATGACGATGGCCATAAGCGTGGACAGACCTCTCGCCCTGTTATTGGGCGGAGATGCAAACAAATTGTAACTTGGAAGTGGGCTTTATTCAATGTCGCTGCTTTATATTATTTCATACATACATAAATACATACATAGTTTAATCGCTCTTCCCCACTGAGCTTTTCAGAGCCAATGCTACATCAAAAATTAAAAAAAAAAAAAGTAATACCTGACCTCACAAGTTCAAGGGAAAATCAACATTTACTTTTCTTTGACATGAAAGACAGATACTGATGCAATGTAAATAAAAAAGGCTGGTAGAGAAGTTTTATTTGAAAATTATCAAAAAAGCTACTAAGGTCTCAGTGATCGTCGCCCAGCGAATGTTGTTCAGACAAAATATTTCTTGCTGCAATCAAAGATAAACTGCACGAAAAAAGAAACAACTGACAGAATAATGTTGATATCAAATTTCACAAGAAGTGGAACACAGATGAAAACATTTGAAGAACTGCTATGTTCCCCCTCTTTAGTGGGTGGGCTTCAACAAGAATCACTTTCCTTCGCAGCACTCAACATTCTCCTCGCCATCACAGCATTTGTTGGGAATTCACTCATCCTTATTGCCCTTCACAAGGACTCTTCCCTCCATCCGCCGTCCAAACTCTTGTATCGTTGTCTGGCAACAACTGATCTGTTGGTTGGTCTCGTTAGCCAACCTCTCGCTGCTTCCAGCTGGATTTTTATTGCTCACGAACACTGGATTCCTTGTCGATGCGCAATTGCCGCTACCTATATCATAAGCTACGCACTAGGTGGAGTTTCTTTGTTGACAATGGCGGCCATAAGCGTGGACAGACTTCTCGCCCTGTTATTGGGGCTGAAATACAGACAAATTGTCACTTTGAAGCGCACATATATCATTGTAGTTACCTTTTGGGTTCTATCCAATGTCGCTGCTTTATGTTACACGTTAGATTACCGCATATTCATTTGGTATGGTATTACAGTTATACCATTATGTCACGTTATCTCAATTGTGTCCTACACAAAAATTTTTTGCGCTCTTGGTCATCATCATACACGAATACAAGATCATGTTCAACAACAGCCGAGCCAGTCAAATGCAGTCAATACCACACAATACAAAAAGGCAGTGTTCAATGCACTGTGGGTTCAGTTGGCATTAGTTGTTTGTTATTTGCCGTATGATTTAGTGGAAATTGTGATCAGACAAAGCAAAACTTATTCATCACACCTAGTCATCATGTGGGGTGCAGCAAGCATATTAGCTTTCTTTAACTCAACGTTAAATCCGTTTCTGTACTGCTGGAAAATCAGTGAAGTGAGACGAGCAGTAAAGCAAACGATCAGACAAGCATTTAGCTTTCCATAAAGTGAGATCCTCCCCAAATTATGCTCGTATTAATACATTCCAAGCATAATCATTCAGTCATGATTAGTAATTTAGAACTACACTCCGATATGTGAATGGATAGGCAAAAATAGGAAGCACAATAAAATTGTTGCCCAAGGCTTCCTTGAAGTCTGCTTTTTCGCACGCAGAGAACTGAAGGAAAGGAAATGGAAAACCCAACCTTCTCATACTCTATCATGAATACAACATGTCTCAATCGAAGGAAAACTCTGCATCAGATTCAGTTTTCAGTTTTGGGATGCCGAGGCAAATGCACAGTTGATGGTAACACTTAATCATAACCTTATCAGCGAAAGTTTTTTCTGAGCTAGGATGGATCGTTTCTAGATGATAGTAAAGATTTACTAGTCCTTGCCTCTTACTGCTAATTACTACCAACGAAGAAATTGTGGATGTGAAATTTTATAAAGGACACGCTGGTTAAAGCGTGTTTTTTTTCTGGTTCGATGTAAATGATGGAGAAAAAATAATGGGAAGTTTCTAGAATAGGAATGAAATAAGAGTATTGATTTGTAAAACTAATTTTGCCTATCTTAAAAAATTCGATCACGGGTTTTAAATTTTTTTTCTAACAATTTACCCCGAGTGAGGTTTTGCTCGGTCATACTGGAAAATAAAAATGTTGCAGATGTCTTTCAACGTTTTCCTCTTAATGCAAATGCAAACCTAAATTCAAATTTTTATTTTTTATTGTATAATTTTAATTATTTACTTTTTTTTTCGTGTATTTATAGATTGCCACTATTTTAACCTTCTCCTCAAACGATTTACATCTTGGCTTGACTTTTTTCATTTTCAGTTTTCCAAGGGTGGAAAAGCCTCAAGACCTATAAATATTTAGGAGGAAATGGGTTTTAGCAGCGCTATAAAATAAGCATTTTGTATGTCTCTTTGCTTGTCACTTACAACAAAATCGTACCTAAGGCAAATGATGTCGAAAAATTTGAAGACACATCTTTTTGTTTGTTCCGAATTTACGCGACATACATGTAGTTTGCCCACGCATTGTAAACAGTTAACGCCACTGAGGAAGTCTTTTTGAGAGAAGAATAGGATAGAGGGGTTTCAGTGATAGTAGCAGAAACAGGCATTCAAAATATGTTCCGGCTAAAGTGAAGGTTAAGTGGCTTTCGGTGTCACTGGGAAAGACCAAAACAAATGTCAGCCTTCTAAGGGTCTTCGTCTTCAGAGTTATTCATTTCTTCTTGTGTATTTTTGGAAAGGGAAGAATTGTAAACAATTGCCAGTTTTTGAAAGAATCATTTCCTTTTTTGGTTCGTTTTGAGAAACGATACACCAGCTAGATCCACTGAGAACATTTTTTAACACTTTAACGACACGATTAACAGCTGTATAAACATTGTTGGAATAATAAATGCTGCTGGGAGTTCGTTATGTCAATCTTTTTAGGTAAGTAAAGCTTAGCAAGCTTAGCTGATAAGACAAACATGTCTAGCTCAATTAAAGCCGGGAAAAGTAGACCACTGTTGATTAGACTGCGTTGCAAAATGAAGACGAAAACAAATACAACACGAAGGGGAACATAACAAACATTTGAAGAAATGGTCTTTTCCCAATATTTGTTCGGTGGATTACAACAGCAATCAATATATTTGTGAGCAGTCAACATTCTCCTCTCCATCACCGCATTTCTTTTCCTTTTGCTTAAAATTGTCTCCTTATTTAATAATGTGTATATAAGGCACAGCCATGATCGCTAAAAAAATTGTCATATCGCTTAAAGTGAGGGATTTCGTGGCTGCATTTTTAATGAGTAAGCGCTAATGACAAGGATGATTTAAATCACTAAGGCAGGGCAACATCACTTACATCTCAGAAGAAAACTTGACATGTCTTGTGACCGAGCAGGCAATTCGTAAGAGTGTTATAAAATAAGAGAACGCTTCTGACGAAGATTTTTAAGTAAATGTTGCTTAGAGGGTGGATTACTCTTAGTCGGGCAGGTATTGTGGAAAAAAAAATCTCTCGTGAATAAAGTCAAATTAGCCTACAGGAAACGACCCTTTTTCATTGAACTGCCTGATGATGTAGAATATTTTGTAGCGTTAATAGCGTCTCTCATCAAAAAGAAATGCGATTTTCTTCCCTTAAGTTTCATACATGATAAAAACCCTTTCAGAAAATGGTAGGTATTAATTTTTTTTTTTGGTACCCGATCATTTGCCTGAGTAATTTGTTTTTTCAAGGAGTAGAAAAAAGACACGTCAAAATGTTTTCGCAAAGAAACGAATTATATGCATTTCCTTTACATTCTACCCCTCTGACACAGTGCGCTTACTGAGAAGCCTGGGAAAGAGTTTCTTCATCCAATACTGAAATGATGATAGCAATAGCACAAATGTCTACGTGTGTCCTTCATTCTAATTCAGCCTAAGATATTTTCAGTAGTTAGATTGAACAAATAAGCTTAGCAAACACGTGACCTTTAGTCAAGTAAAAAAGCCTCCTGTTTTTTCTGTGTAAAAGGAGATGATTTGCTGATGTGCTACCTAGGAAGGCATTTCTTGTGAATGTTAACACGAAAGAAAGTTGTTTGCCAATCATTTACTGCCAGGGCATAAGTGAAACGACACAAGCAATAAAACAAACAATCAGCTAAGCACTTGAAGGACACACGTAGATCATACTTAGGACACACTTATGTCCCTCTTATGTGGCAATCGTGGTATAACTTTCAAAACTGACTTGCGGTTGAGTCACAGTTGTTATTATTAGAGAATCGATTAAATCATTGCTGAAGCACATCCTCTTCGCTTAGCTGTAGATGAATTTTGCCTGAGAAGACAAAGTTTCTAATAGTCTTTCATATATGTTGTGAAATGATGGCTCGTCCCCACAGGGCTTTTTAGAGTCGATGTAATGTTTCATTACAAAATTAAAAAAAAAGAATCACCTCTGATCACCTCACAAGTTCAAGGAAAAATCAACATTTACTTTTCTTTGACATAAAAGATTATATCCTGGTGTAGTTTAATTAAGACAGGCTGGTAGAGAAGTTTTATTTGAAAATTATCAAAGAAGCCGTTAAGGTCTCAGTGATCGTCGCTCCGCGAATGTTGTTCAGACAAAATATTTCTTGCTGCAGTCAAAAATAAACTATAAGGAAAAAGAAACAACTGACAGAATAATGTCGACAACAAATTTTAGTACAGGCGGAACACAGACGATAACATTTCAAGAACTGTTATGTTCTCACTCTTTGGTGGGTAGGCTTCAACAAGAATCACTTTCTTTCGCAGCACTCAACATTCTCCTCTCCATCACAGCATTTGTTGGCAATTCTCTCATCCTTGTTGCCCTTCACAAAGACTCTTCCCTTCATCCGCCGTCCAAACTCTTGTATCGTTGTCTGGCAACAACTGATCTGTTGGTTGGTCTTGTAAGCCAGCCCCTCTCTGCTTCAAGCTGGATGCTTAGTGCTCACGAACACTGGATTCCTTGTCGATACGCAAGTACCGCGACCTTTATCACAAGCCACGTATTATGTGGGGTGTCTTTGTTGACAATGACGGCCATAAGCGTGGACAGACTTCTCGCCTTGTTATTGGGGCTGAGATACAGACAAATTGTAACTTTGAAGCGCACATATATCGTTGTCGTTACCTTCTGGGTTCAATCCAGTGTGGCTGCTTTATGTTACGCGTTAGATTACCGTATAGCCAATTGGTATGGCCTTACAGTTGTACCATTATGCTACGCTATCTCAATTGTGTCGTACACGAAAATCTTTTGCGCTCTAAGTCATCATCATGCACAAATACAAGATCATGTTCACCCAAATGCAATGAATACCACACAATACAAAAAGGCAGTGTACAATGCATTGTGGGTTCAGTTGGCGTTAGTTGTTTGTTATTTGCCGTATGGTTTCGTGGAATTTATGATCAGACAAAGCAAAACTTATTCATCGCACCTAGTCATCATAGGGGGTGTAGCAGGCACATCAACTTTCTTAAACTCAACGTTAAATCAGTTTCTTTACTGCTGGAAAATAAGTGAAGTGAGACAAGCAGTAAAGCAAACGATCAGAGAAGCATTTAGCTGTCAATAAGAATAGTTATTCAGTCACGATTATTACTTTTTTCAGATATGTGAATAGATGAGAGATAAATAGGACAGTAAATTGTTGCCCAAGGCTTTTACGAAGTCTGCTTTTTCGCACGAAGACGACTGAAGGGAAGGAAATGGAAAAACCAACCTTATCACATTCTATCATGAATACAACATTATCATTATCATTAATTGAATGAAAGATACACATGCACCGCAGGGTTCCACTTCAGATTTTGAGTCTGCCGAAGCAAATGCACAGAGTTGATAGCAACAC